AGATGCCTTTCGACATCATTCTGCGCCGAAATTGATAGTGAGAATTTCGTCAAGAATCATCTCAAAAGATCAATCCAGATGAAAACCGGCCAAAAGCTACTCGTCTACAACCCAAGATTCGAGGGTGCCAGCGATTTCTACTTTGCTGATTTTGATGACGACCTCGTTGATGCCTTCCCACTCAAAATGCCATTGGTATCTCGTCATCGCGACACATCCGTATACGGTTCTTGTAATGGTTTGTTTCTCATGGGTATGGATTCTATGGATTTTAAAGTTGAATACCAAAGTTTGGATCTTTACATATGGAATCCATTTACCAGGCGCTATAGGAAATTACCGCCTTGTCCAGTCCAGACCCTTTCTGGGTATGGAGAATTCAAGTGCTGTGGTTTAGGGCATGATTCTGCTTGTGATGACTATAAGGTTGTGATGATTTCGAAGGCTGATGACTCCAATCAAGTCTGGGTTTTTGGGTTGAAATCAGATTTTTGGAGGAGGAGCCGAGATTTGGAAGATGAAGTAACCACATCAGCGGGGTGTTTTGCAAATGGTGCTCTGTACTGGATGTGTAAAAATAAGTGTGTTGGTTTTGATCTCGAGAAGGAGGTGTTCTTTGTCATTCCGCTATTGTCTGATTGTGGCCCAGCAGCTTTCTTTTTCGATTCCTTCGATTCGTTGGTGGTTTTCCGAGGTAACCTTTATTTTCGTACATTGGTTGATGAAAAGGTAGAATATTACTTGCTTGTGAGTGATGTGAGTGATAAGGGTGGAGAAGTTGTAGGAGTTAGTTGGAGGAAAGAGTTCACTATAGAGAATGTCGAGAATATTTTGCATGATGTATTTCCGCTCCTGCCTTTGGCTTATTCAAAAGATGGGTGTAGCATTCTGCTTCACGACTTAAGTGGGGTTTTTTGGTATAACCTTAAAAACAGAACAAACCAAAGGGTGATTATTGCTGGGTTGCCTGATGTTCCATGGTCCAGATACAATGTCTGTTGGGAAAGTCTTGTTTCTGTTGGCAAGGATAGTGCATTTGATGGAGCAGCTGAGGAAGTGAGAATAGACGATTTAGAGGAGTAGAACAATATGAAGCTGCCTTCTTTTAGAAGCTCAAGCTTGTAAAGACAAATAGCTGTTGTGATGTAATGAATGGATATGCTTTTGGTTAGCGAGTATGATTGTATTTCAATGAAATTCCATGTCAATCCAATTTCTGTTTTAGCCCTTCTCCTTATCAATCCCAATTTAGTACCTTTTGTGGAATTTTGGATGGTTTGAAATGGGACATGGGAAATTTCCCTTTTATCTATTTTGGAACTCTGCTTTAGACATGTATCACGTATGGCAGTGTATGTTATATAAGCTTTTATTGGTTAATCCTCAGAAACATGTTGAAAACTAATTTTTGGCATAGCAGAATGCATGTGTGTTGTGCGCAGCAAAGTGTGGGGCAACATGTGAACGCCTATCTTTCTTGAGTGTTTGACTGTGTGTTTACTGTTTAGTAACTGTGTTTGGGCAGCTATAATTATGAATTAGGTATCCAATGAGTTCCTCAATGCTGTAGTAGGACAGCAAAGGAAGGTGTCATCTTACATTGAAGGTGAGATTTGTTTTGGCAGCAGCACTGTACTTCCGTGGATGACAGCAAAGGAATCACTGTTTGTTTATGCAGAAAAGCAAGCCTTCTAAGGTAGTCAGTAAAATGATTTTGCAATTGCTTGAGAGAGGGCAGTTTAATCTCTTTAGTTTTATTTTGAAGTACTGTCTGTAAAGGGATATGTGCTATTTTGCTCAAAAATGATCAATGTCTTGATAATTGGTTTAATTAACTATTGTTGGATGCTATCTTGCATTATCATTACTGATTTACTCTGTGAGTTGGAATTCAAAAATTAGATCATAGAAATATACCTACGGGTTGGAGCTTTTGTCTGTAATACATAACATGCTCTTTACTAAGTCATGGCCAAAAGAAAAAGAGGAAAAGAAGAAGAAGAAGAAGAAGAATATGAATGGCGTTGCAGGACATCCCAAAGGGGAATTGTTGCTCTGTTTTATTTTGGTTAAATGCTAAATTTGGTCCCTTAACTTTAGTGAGTTGCACATTTTTGGTCCTTTAACAATTTTTTGCACTTTTTTGATCCCTCAACTATACGAAATACACTCCGTTAGTCCTTCTGTTAATTTCGATCGTTAACTCGCTTATGTGGCATTTTTTATTATTTTTTTGATGACGTGGCAAAAACAAACTAAA